TAACTTAAAGTATTTCATGTAACCTCATTAATCATGGTCCCATACTTTACACTGTGGAAACTATGACCCCACTCACTGTATCATCAGAGTTTTAAAGTATTTGCTTAAGTTACGTAAGTGAGTGTTTTAAACTGAATAACCCAGGAAAACTATCAGTTTTTCTATAACAAAAACTGTAACTTTGCCTGTGAAGCTTGGAAGTATTATACTTCATATAAAATTTAGCGTTTCTGTTACGGTGATGGGAGGTAGAATTCATACTTCAGTGTGTTCCAAGGTGAGTAGGAAGTGAGAAGGTAAGAATATCAAGCAGAGAAAACTTTTTCTTCAAGTTTGTATCTGAACAAGGAGAAAGAAAGGGGGCAGTGGCCAGTGGAATGTGGGAGCCAACTTACTGAACTTAGCTCTTGCAGAGACCTTCTTCTTTTCTTCACTTTTTCCATCTTTGTGTTTAAAGGAGGTAATCAATTCACAGCAAGCACATCGAACACACTGTGAGTATTCGATAAAGATTAGTTCAGTGGTTCACACAGTCTGGTCCGTGAACCTGCTGTCCGTGAGACTCTTTTCGGCATCTGTGAATTCGAAACTATACTCATAAAAATACAAGGACATTATCTGCCTTTTCACTCTTGTTCTTACATGAGTGTCCCGTGAGTGTTTCGTATGCTATTTGAGGTGTAAAATTGCACTAGTTTGAACGTAGAAGCAGATACAAGGATCCAGCTCTCTTAGCCAAACAAGACTTGCACAATGTAAAACAGTGCCACGCGTCTCTTAAAATATTTTTGTTTTGGAAAATCTAGTTATTTATATAAATAAGAAATGAATTTATTATTGTTGTTTTGAATACATTTATGACTAATTTTTTTAACCTTCTGTCTTTTAACTCTCGTATGATAAATATCATAGAACAAATTTTAAAAATTCTAGAATTCTCAAAGATTTTTAGGAGTGTAAAGATGGTATGAAAACCAAAAGATTTGAGATCTGCCTAATTAATTGGTACTATAATTATTACTTTATGTAATTGTTTGCTAAGGTGCAGTGTTTTGATTTCTGTAGTTTAATAAACAAAGGAAAATTTGAAACTAGACCTCAAACCTGAAAGAACCATTTTTCTTTACCATGTTTATGCCTTATTGAACCTTCCGTTATTTATTTATTTTGCATATCTATCAGATAAAATAGAAAATAGATGATTTTTATATAGTAATTGGTGAAAGCTAAAGACTGTTCAAAGTAATCTGGTATAGAGTGTAAATAGATTATTAAAGTAATTTTTTATTCATTGATTTTGATCTTTGAATAGAATACTGTTGGGTGAAGAAAAAAGTGGTACTTGACAAACTACAATGAAGGACTCAAGTTCAGCAATTTCTTGTAATGCGTATTTGATATTGTTTCTTAAAGAGCTATAAAGTCTAACTTTACAGAATGAACTTGGCAAGGAATACAATATTGTGATTATGATGAGCATTGTTCACATCTCTGTGATAAAATGTTTTCATTTTAAACTTGGAAGATTTTGATTTTTTCTTTCTTTACTAAAAAAAATGCATCAACACTTCATTTCTCATATGGATGCCACTTCTGTGTAATACATCTTTAAAGACTAATTTCTTAATTATAAGAATAATAATGATTCTAATTACTTTGAGATAATATTAAAATATTCAATGCCAAAACAAATACACACAAAATTCAATGCCAAAACAAATACACACAAAATCTATTATTTCCCTAATACCAGCACACTGTCTAGATTATTGTAGCTTTATAGTAGGTCTTGAAGTCAGGCCATGTCATTCCTCTGACTTTGTTTTTTTCTCTTTGGCATTTCCTTGGCTCTTTCGATTATTTCACTTTTACGTATAAGCTAGAATCAGTTTGTTGAAATTCACCAGAAAACTTTCTGAGATTTTGATAAGGATTGTGTTGAATCTATACATTAAGTTGATAAAGCTGACGTGTTGGCAACATTGACTCTTTCTACTATGAACATGAAATATTCTCTATTTATTTAGATCTTCTTTGATTTCATCAGACTTCCACAGTTTTCCTCATATAAATTTTGTACATATTTTGTTAGATTTATACCTAAGTATTTCACTTTTTGGTGCTGATGTAAATGATATTATGTTTTTATTTTTGAACTCTAATTGTTCATTGCTATTATATGGGAAAGCAATTTTTTCTTTTGTGTATTAATCTTGTGTCCTGCAACCTTACTAAAGTCGCCTGTCAGTTCTCATGGTTTCTTTTTGATGTTTGCTCTTTAGGATTTTTCTGTGTAAACAATCATGTCGTCTGCAAACAAGGATATTTTCTTCCTTTCTGATCTGTATACATTTTATTTCCTTTCTTACTGTATTGCCGACACACCCAAGACCAGGAGGCCCCGAATCTGTTTGTTAGTATAGCTCAGCAAAAGCTCCCTCGCCATCCAGGGCGCAAGAATGCCTGGCATCCTATTCTCAGCACACTTGCAAAAATCCTCATGCTATGGGTCTTCAGGACAGCTTACAAATAGAAAGTGTTAACACTGAGAAAGTGGGAGAAAATTTTAACTAATTAACATGTATGCATTTGTTAAAACATTCCTAGACCTGGGAGCCCCAAAGACACATTTCTTACATCTTACATTCTGTTGTATTAAAGTCAGCAGAAACATATAATGTACAAAGGACAAAGAGTATCATGTCAAGATTTCCCCTCCTGTGTAGTCTTTAAATTGACTGTGACAGAATGCTAAACCAACGCCGATCACGGTGACAATACTGGCAACTTTCAAGACCGCGTTCCCAGAATGACTCCCCCTCCCCACAATGTATACATATTTTGCTTTCTAAATCAGTAAACATTAATCCTTTATTTGACAGAACAGTAGTGTCTCTAGAAAGCCGAATTATATTTGTCCCTCTTTCTGTTAATGACTATTACTTTATTTCAAGGAGTTAATATTATAAAATCGGAGAGGTTATGTTTGCTATTAAATGCGATTTTGAATTATATGGCTTTTGGTTTGAATTATTCTTTTTGCATTAAGAAATTTTCCTTCAAATCTAAGTTCATTCAGATTTACTCAGAATTTTTATGAGAGAAAAATGGTGAAATTTTCTGATGTGTCCCTGAAACTCATCAAAATGATTGTGATTTTTCTCCTTTGGCCAACTATATGCAGGATTAAGTGATGGGTACCCTAAGACAGTACTTTCAAAGGATCTTAAATAAGTCATAGTGTATTTTTCTTAATTTCTGAAATGGATCCAACAACATATTATTGGGGGAATCTTGTATCTATTTACATGTTGTAATAGTCAGAACTTTTCTTTTTATGTCGATCCAGGTCCAGTTTTGTAATTGTCTTACAGTGACTCCGTAAATAAATGAACTGAGTGCTTAGTTTGTCTTCACATTTATGTAACCAGTCTTTTCTCCTCCAATCCATGAACCACTGTAGGCTAGATCATCCACAATCTTCTAATCAGCAAATGGACCCCATTCATCTCTCCTCCTACTGGAATTTTTATCTACTAGGTGCCATTTTTTAAAATTCTTTCTCTCTTGAAACTTGTTTTTGTCTAGACTTTCTTTCCTTCTTGGTCCTTTTTAAAAATTTAATTTATGTTATAAAGTATGCTTTGTCTGCCAGTTCCTTAAATATCAATTTCCACCGAAGCATGGTCCACCACTAATTCTAATTCTACTTGTTCTTGCTGGACAACCTCATCCAGTATCATAACTCTGATCCTTAGCCATAGGATGGTATCTCTGTATCTCCAGGATGCCTCGCCCCACTCCCATTCTGTATACCCAGCTTCCCAATGGATACATTTACTGACATATTCCAGAGAATCCCAAACTCCAAATGTTCTTCTCACATCTACTCCTTCTTTATGTCCCTAATCTGCCATCCATCAGATTTTCCAAGGCAGAAACTCGAGTTCCCGTCTTTCATTTTATTTATCCCAAATAAACACACTAATGAACATTTGTAATTTCTGTCATCTTTTCTCTGTATCTACTACCACTTACTCTCTGAATTCCTATTTTAATTAACTAGATTTTGCTATCGTTTCCCATTAAGTCTTCTTTTCTCCACTAGCCTTGTCTGCAACCTTTTTCTCTTGTTGTGACAGTAATAATTTTCTAAAATTCTAATTTGATTGTAACACCCACTAACATACAATACTTAAGACCCAATAATCAACAAGAGAAATTAAAGGTCTAATTCAAAGTGATTTACAAAAATATGTATTGTAGAGGAAGACAAATAGAGGTTATCATGTTATAAGTAAAATTTGAATGGACAGTTTGATAATAAGAGAAATAAAATTAATTTATACATATGTGGAGATAGGATTCAAATCTGACCATAAGCTTCCAAGTAGTTAAAAAAAAAACAAATATCATATATAAAATTGAGCCCCTTTTCATAAGGTTTTTTTCCTTAGAAGAAAATAGATACTTGTAATACTGTGTCTTAAGACAAATCTCTCCCACGGATCCTTACAAAAACCAAAGTAATGTTATATAATGGTTCACACTGACACTATGCCGTAAAAAGATTGCATTTTATCATGGAGCATAGTGTCAGGGTGAAATTCTCTAGCGAAAAATGATTACATGATGAGTCAAAGCAGGAGTGTCTACCTGGTTCTCTGGTCCTCTGGTGAATCACTTTCACCAAAGGATAAAATTTGTTATGTTTGAAATACTCTGTAAGATCGTGTATGTGGTCTGCAAGCAGTGCTAACTCCGTATTATCAAACTTTTTTTTTTTTTAAGATTTAGGCAGCAGCAAATTTCAGGTTATATTTCCTAGCAAGTGCCTGCAATACAATTTTTTTTATGGTTTTAATTAAGGACAGATTTATTGTCCTTGATGTTGAACTTGAAGGGTTGTAAGATTTAAAAAGACATGAATTCATTTTTTTTTTCAGTTAAGAAGACAAACTGGCTTGTATCTGAACAGATTGCTTTTTAATTCCCTGCAGAATTTGTCAGAGTGAGTACCTGCAGACAAGGTCAATATTCCCTTGGAAAATAGTTTGGGATTATTCTGGCATCCAAACTGGTAAGTAAATAGTGAATTACTTAGACTGTAATACATAAAATGTGAATAATGGAAACAGGAAAAGTGTAAATATAATAATATAAAAACTATAGTAATGACAGTCATCAAAAATCTAGAATTTTATGTATATTCTCGATGAATTTCCTATTTTTCTGCAGACGTAGTTTCTCCTTTGCTTTAAAGCTTTGAAAATTGGATATATCTACTCTGTGTCTAGTCTTTTCTCTCTCCTACTTCGCCCAAAGATGAATATTTTGACTTTATAACAATAGGTAGTCACTTTACTGTATTCATAGTAGTAGTGAAAACCCCACAGAGATTAAATCTGATATCCTATGGTTCACAAAAAAATTTCAGTCTTCTTAATACAGCACTAATGGCAAGATAAATACACTGCTTCCAAGCCAGCCTGAAGCACAGTCAATACATTTACTTGTGTAAATTTCATAATAAAAACCAAAATAGTGATAGCCAAGCCATTAGGAAGTTGCTTAGATTGCCAAAAGGATATTGGATACTTTTCAGTTTTGCATCTTTCTGGAGAGAAAAAGGACAAAACACTCCTTTTATCCTTTTAAAAATTGAAAAAAAAATTTTTTTGTATCTACCTTAATCTTCAGCGTGGTCATCTGAGTGACTTCTGACTTAGTGTTTGCACATGTTGATTATTAAGACGGCCCAAATCCCAAATCAGCTCTGCTACTCCAAGCTAAGAATGATTTTCCTAAGTGTAACATCAGGGTTACATTACATTAACATTCATGAGCTGAAGGCTAGATATTAAATTTGAAAGAACACCTCTTACTTACGACTGTATTTATTGATTGGCAAGTTAGGTCTTCAAGTCTGTTTTAGACTGAACACTTGCTTTAGCCTGTCCTGAAAGGTCTCCTGCACACATTGAAGATATCACTGGCTCGTTTATTGGCCTGCATTATCCTGTTACCTCTGCGTCAAAGACTTACTCTGGAGCTTACTGTCCAAGCAGTGCTCATTTCACCGATTGTTCCAAATGGAGTTTGTTAAAAAGCTGCTCACCCTCTGAGTCACTGATGAGAACCGTAGTCTTGTGTTAAAATTTTTAAGAGTTACTCCACGAATCACACCCTGCGCTACTACTGCCTTAAACAGAGTTCATGCCGTACAACGGAAATAAATGATGGTTTGCAAATTACACCGTGCAGTGGGTCTCCTGCATGTTTGGCTTTGTGTCCTTGGAGTGATTTTCAGCATCGTTAAGCAGAAAGCACATCATTTCCTAAGTAACAAGGAATGAAGCACACACAGAGATTGACTTGGCATCTCTTACATAAACTTTCTGTTTTAGATTTGCAGAATTTACATAATATTGGAACAACACAATACCCACACATATTTGTGGTGTCAGTTCAATTTCCCTACAGTGCCCTTCTATGGTCAACCCAGCCAAGGGTTTGTCTGCCTGTTAAAATTTTTGACATGATTTTTTTTAATACGAAACAGTCTTCACTTAAAAAAAATTAATTATTTTCAGAGGGTTTTTTTCCCCTACATAATAGATGCCTATTTGAAATGTAGGAAAATTGGAAATTATTTAACATATTTGAAAAATGTTTTTCTAAGTGTTTTGATAATCAGTAATTTTTGAAATATCCACAACTATCCTACTCCAAAATTTAAGTGAAACTATATAAAGGAATGATCACTTATGTATATAGGAGTTTTATATATATAAAGATTTTATAGCTTTTCTTTTGTAGGCCCAAACTCAAAGCCATATTTAAAGATTTGTTAAAGATGGTTTTTTCTCTGGCGCTCTAAAACTGTACACCCATCTGCCTTTGGAACATCTCCACTTATGCATCTGATCTTTAAAATAGAACTGGATATATCAACTATCTAACTGAGCAAAATTCTGCAGCTCTGTAGAGTATTTACCCACTAACTTTGCTCCCATGGGAAATGTGCTTTTACCATGGAAGGGTATTATTTTATTTATCGTGTTTGCAGACAGCGCCATAGCTACTAAATCATATTTCATGATTAAAATTGCGATCCTTTGGCCAATAAGAAAGGACATAATGAAACCCCTCTCCTTCCCATAAAGAGTGCAAAGAAGCTACACACTTGCTTTGCTGGATGTCAGGAGTCAGGGTGGTGAATGGTTCTATCTGTACAACTAGTACCTCTGCTTAATTACTTAGCTCAGTTTCCCCCATGACAGAGTCTAATTGCGGTGGTTCATTTGGAGGCTGATGTCTGGAGGCATCAGTAAGGGGAGGAGAAAGTGACCCTGAGAAGGGAAGATTGCTTGTGTTGGTGACATAACTGGAGTGCAAGGCTCTGGGTTCTGTGATTTTGAATCATCTCAATTGAAAGCCAAGGTATTTGGCCTGTTTCTTCATTTTTAGAAGTGCATTGACTCCTGGGCATGTCTAGCCTTTTTTCCCACAGCAAACACTGTACGTCCGTGTTGGGAAGCCCGAGATAAGCAATGGGATAGACTTTCTGGTGGTCGTCCCCCAGTTCAGCCTGGGGCCCACGTGCAGCCTGCACAGAGGTGTGCGTCGGTTTGGCAGAACTGTTTCTTTCCAGCTTATGAGCGCCTACTCTCTCTCCACGCGGCAGTTTTCAGTCTCGGTGTAGTTGGTACTAAAATGCTAATCTGCCGGGAAGTTATTGCTTCATGACACAGCAGCAGTTTGGGGTGGGACTGAGAAGCTGGTGAGGCATTTGGTGGCACCTTGATAGTTTTGATATATCTCATTTGAACACATGGAGTCTGATGACAAATTTGGGCTAGTAAGCATATATAGTGGAAATGTGACACATGACATAATATGAATATTGTCCTTCTTTCCACCCTTCCTTGGATTTACTGGAATAGCCAACATGTGTCAAGTAAGAAATATTTTTAAATAAAATTCTGAATTATATGTTTTGCCATCAGTATAGTAAACAATGCCCAGAAGTACAATGACATCTCTGAAATCTCTCCCTGAATATATCTTGTATAGAATTACTTTAGTTCTCATGTTAAAAAAAAAAACTTTTTTTTTAATTTCAGGCCACCTAGTATTTTGGGGGCAAACATGCCATAAAAAAAAATGTGCTGACACTTCAGTGACGGTCACTGAAATAATGACACATCATGAGGAAGGCTGTGTCCCTGATGGGGGAAAAGGGAAAACACTGTCGAGTGCTTGGCGGTATTTCTTCCTGCTTGATGCAGGTCAGTCTCTCCTTTGCAAAATTATTTAAAAAAACAAGTAGCTGGAATATACTGCATGGAGTCCTGGGCCTTTCCTCTCCAGAGCTGACAGTCAGAGGTGGTCAAGACAACACCCAACCAGCCACAGACACTCAGTGCAGGACAGAACTGCCAGCCGCTCTGGTTCTTCCTTCCCGTGACTTCCCTGACTTACCGGGACACCAGGGAACACACGTGGGACGTGCTGAGTGGCGCTGTTCTCTGCAGGGTCCGAGCAAAGGCATCGGGCCGTCTGCTGCAGCAGCTCATGGGACAGTGATCATGACCTGACCTACTGGTCATTCGTGGGCGGGCCTCACCTGAAAGCACCGCCTTCACGCTGTAGCGTGTTAATTCCAACTTATGCACGTTACAAACGACCAACAGGTCACATCCACGCTTTTTATAGTTTTCCTTTGACTCACATCAAAGACTAAGACCGTTGTCCACAGTGGCACTGTGTATTTCCCCAGGACCACCGCTCCAGCTCTGCCACTTGACCCTGCCCCTTGGACACCTCGTCCTTGCATTTAGTCCCACGGCCCCAGAAAGACACTGCAGGTTGAGCTGAACGCACTTGGTAGGTATTGAGAGATGTCGGGTCAGAGCCAGAGTATCAGATGTGGCCCTTTTTTTAAAGTAAGAATTTCTGGGATTTTTCTCCCCTTTCTATCTGGCCTGTGCTTGGGGGTGGCCTTTCCTTCTCAGCTTGGAAGCTAAAGCCTGATGGGATCCGACCACGTCACGTCTCATTCGAGTCGGCGTTTGTGGCAGCAACAGCGTTACGCATTCACTCGGCTGCCCATAAGCTATTATTAGTGAGTTTCCAGAGGTTAGTGGCTCAAAACAACCCCCCCCCCATTTTCCTTCCTCTGCTGCCAGGGAATCTCACAAGAATTAAAACTATCCTACCTTAGGTTTTGGACCCATTTCCACACTACCTGGAGGGTTTTTAAGGGATCTCACTGTGGAATTTGCAAACCGCTAATCTACATTGTACTATTCTTGTATGAAAAGTCTGGTGTTGCCACTGGTGATCTGAGTCATTTAGTCAGCAACAAAACACGCTCACCGAGCTGTATTTGTGTGTCAAGTAAGATTAGGCACATGTCTCTATACTGAAGTGTGTTGGCGCTGCAAAAGAACACAAAACAATGAGAGCTGTGATCTTACTCTATTCCAGTTTCTTTTCAAAAATCTTATACAACTTTTTCTAAAAGTTATCTTCCTTCATTATTTCAAAAGCATTCTTTGTTTTTAATAAACATTTAGTTACCCAGGTTATAAAGAGCAGGGAATGTTTGTTAAGACAGTGTATTATCTAACCTCAAATATTTGAAAATAATTGTATGAATAATTCCTTTGAAATTTTGAGAAGCTAAATGTTCATCAGTTCATAGTTGACTTCTAATGGCCCAATGTGGTTAAAATTAAAAAGAGTTTGACGGAATGTTAGGGGCTTGAGTTTACGTAATTTCAGCCAGCATTATCAAGTTTATTTTGGTTTTTTTTTGTTTTCTGATTTATATTATGTGGGGATGCTGGTGGTTTGGGAGAACTCTAAGTACCATTTCAAATTCTTTGCGAAGTGCTTCGTGAAACAGTCCCAATGTAGTATCATTAATATTTAAAACAAAAAAAGCAAGATCTTATTAGAAGATAATTAAAATTAGGAAGTCAGTGAAAGAGCATATTTATGCCACATTGCCCATCCACAAGTTACAACTCAAGTATTAATTTTATAGTTGGAATCAAGTATAATTGTTCAGGA